AGCAGCAGCAGCAACAGCAGCAGCTGGAGGAGTTGTTTCAGGAACTGGAGTGGCTGCACTAGTTGTAGGGGTAACTACAGGAACAGCAGTCTCTGTTGGCTTCATAGCAAACAGGTCCAGCTCAGGAGCAGCCTCTGCACTACCTTCGGATGGGGCAAAGGGGTCTTGTAAAAAGGAGAGGGGAAATACATGTGTATGCATACTTAGGATCAGTGAGGGAGGAAGTCAAGAACAAAGCAACTACAGGCAATGCACATACTGCAAATACACGCGCGCACACACACAGGGGAGGTTGCTCTAACATCTAGCCTACTTATCCAGACATGTAATTTATGTTTTTCCAAAATAAAGACCATCTGAAAGGCTGAGCAGTCTAGTTACTAAAGGGCAGAACTTTCAAAGGCTGTTTGACAAGGCCAAAAAAGACAGGAAATATGACAAAAGAATACCCAGCAAAACTCAGCACTGCCAGAATCATTTATTAGCACTACTGAATAAGCATAAAGTTACTGGGACTCAGAAACAGGCAGTTTTGTTAAGCATGCTCTTCAGTCTAAGGTTTGTTTTGACCAATTGCAAACACTATGAAAATTTCAGAAAAACACACTGCCATGTAGTTTAAACAAAAAAAAAAACAGCAAAAGAAGAGACTATCTAATGACATAAAACCCACCATTTCCTGAACATGCATCAAGAGCTGCTGCTACAGGGGTTGGGGTAGCTGGTGCTGCTGCCCCTTCAGCTGCTGCAGGGGCTTCCCCAGGAGAAGCTGCAAAGGCATCTTGGGTGCAGTTTAAGAACAGAAATTAAAAGGAAAAAGGATAAAGAGAAGAAAAATACAGTAAAAGAACCAAGTTAAATTGCACAGGTAGATCCCCTTATACAACATGAATGTTGTAACTCTGACAGCAAGACAAGTCATGCAACGCAAAACACTGTCTCCCCCAACCCCACACAAGCAGGTTCTAGACAGGGTTTGAAGATGGAGCTTCTCAGCTTGCCCGCAGGAAGTACAGTGAGTGTAAAAGGGGGCGTTATTCTCATTGTATAAGGGTTCAGAGCAGCATGCTCATGTACTACCCAAAATTAACTAACGAAGAAAGAGCAAAAGTATGGCAATAAGTTGGTGTTAATAAAGATATTAAAAACTTGCATGCTTAAAGCCCGTAATACATGTGATTAATCTGCAACTGTGAATTTACTTGCATAGTGCTTTGCAAAATTAAGCACTGTTACAAATAACAATCCAACTACATCGGCAGAGATCTGCATCTACCATTTCTAGCTTTTGAGCCAAGTCAGTCATGCAACATCTGAGAAATTGAACTTACTTGTTTCTTAACAGTATTCCAATCGATCTTTCTGAAGCCATAACCTGATGCATAGGTTATATTTACTCAGCTTGCTTCTGACAGATCAAGAATGTTCATCTTAACTACTGGCCAGCCATAGTTTGTCTCCTTTTTTGAGGATCACCTCTAAGGCCAAACCAGTCAAGTCAGGAAAAACTGTTTTGGGCTTTTGGAACAACTTGCTCATGAGTTTTCTTTGACCGTTTTTTTTGTTTGCCACTTGCTAAGTGGTATGTTTAAATTTCAAACTCTGAACTTTTACAGCATTATTCCTAGGCTTAAACCACCATCTGTAGCTCTTAATTCCAAGAAGTAGTCCTAATAGACAATGCCATTTGGACTATTCTCATAGGCAAGAATTTTCTTCACAAAAACACCGTGCAATTAAGATTAAATACTTCAAGATGTTCATAAAGGCCATTTTTCTACTGCTACAAAGTTAGCCAGTTCAAAACAATTCTGTTGGGGAATACTGCAATTGCACTGTCAAACTAACACAGGAAAAAGTTTAACATGCTTTAACTTGAGTGTCAATTTTAAAATGAAAACAACCATTTTAAAAACAAGTTTGTGCCAGTTAATGTAAAAAGCTCAAAAGAACATGCATTGAAACTTCAACAGAAGAGATGAAAGTCAATTAGTCTTGTACAATAGAATTATAATGAATTAGTAGCAAAAAGAGGCCTGCTAATAAGCCATTTCAAATATAATTCTATTTTTCACGTAACAGGGTACAACAACAAAACTGGATGGCAGTTGTCCAAGTGAAAAAAAAATCATAATTAGTCAAGCATCACAGTATTGTATGTATACCAGACAATGGCATACACTGCATAGAAGAAATTAAACACAGAACTGGACTGAAGAGTTTTGAATTGAGAATACGCTATGCGTATGGTCGTGTGTGTTGGGGTTTTGCTCTACAGGGCCAGCTTTCAGATGGAGGGTCACCCCAAAAGAACTCTTTCAAAAGAACACATTTCTATCCACACAAGCTTGTAGGCCAACAGCACAGTAGTCGGTCAACACTACTTATAATTACTTCCTAGCATGAAAGGATAGACTCCAGATTTCATATAAAGTGGGATTTCAGAATGCATAGAGTTAGTCACAATTTCTATGTTGGGACCACTTCAGCCTTCGAGTAATATCTATTCCTGTCCAGATGTAGAATATCGAAGTTCCATGTGCAACAGCCACAGAAATTCAGGTGGGCACAAATTCCTTCCAGCCCACAGATGGAAGGGAACAGCTAACTTGGCACTAGCTAGCTTGGCACCAGCTTTATTATTTATTGCCACTTCTGAGTAAGGTTCTAGCTAAGCATTATAATTTTCTTTATCATCATACTTGGATTAAATGGTAGGCGAGTTAAACACCTAAGTTCATAATGGAATCTAAAGGAAAAATGCCACATTAATAACTTTAAATATTAGTTACTCTGAGAAGTTCAAGAAACCTGTATGAGTTCGAGACAAATGAACCAGGACAAGTGACCCTACAACTCACAGTTCAAACCAAGGATGGGGTTTTTGGTTGTTGTTTGTGGTTTTTTTTGTTGTTGTTTTGTTTTTGTTTTTTAAAGTTAGTGCTTATCAAGTTCCTTGAAGCCTTTCAAAATGCTCTGCTGCACCTGCACAGATGTCCTCTGCTAAAAATCTAGCATCATTGTTTCTCCATATTGGCATAGTAACCCTACATTTGCATATCCAGCACTGTAAGAGATCTTCTCCCTTTAAAGCAGTTACTATATTTACTCAGTTTATGCCACTTCCTTACACTTGTGCATCTTCTACTTCAAAAGTGAATCCAGCTTTTGACTTCTAGAATCAAGTAGCACATGATCCTCACTCGTGTTTATAGACAGCCTGGAAGCTTAAAGAGATGTCGCTGAAACCTTTGCAAGTTCACACTGCATGGAACATCTATTAGGAATTATAAGTTTGTATTACGTACTGCGTAACACCTAACTTGTTAAATAAAAATAGTTCTTATTGCAATGACATGCAAACAAGGGCATTTTAAAGTTCTGAAATACTGAAGTAGTGCTTCAACACATCTTGTCTGCAGCAAAATAAGTGTTCCTGGAGAGTGATCTGTTTAATTTCATAAATTAAGGCTTTATTTGATGCCATGGCATCAATACATGATAAAAGTTACTCACATATGATGATACCACCGACTTATAATCATTTAATGTATTATGCAACATGTGAAACAACCCTACGGAAAGTCACAAGTATAGGAAAGATCACAGAATTAAAGTGTATAGGTGAAAAGATTTTTTTTCTGTTTCCACAGTTTTTTCCTTTTCAGTCATTCTTCATTACTTTTTGACATGGAGAACCTGACCTGAGCTAACAAGAAATATTCCGCTAGGCTCAGTGCTAGGAAGAAATCATAAGAATTATGGGATTTTTTTTGTCGTTATTTGTTTTTTTAAAATAAGCGCTAGTTTGCTATACCAGCATGTTCCAGCATAAGGGACATTCATTAGCCCTCAAGTGCCAAAAAGTCTTGATCACTTTGCCTTTAGGTTTTTTTAAAGGGAAAACCATAGTTCTGCCCACTTACAATTCATGTCATCTGAATGCCTAATAACTGACATTTGCACAGTGTCTGCCATGATTTGTTACTTGCACTGCTTACAGTGTAATCACACAACAGAACATAACTCAAGAGCACATCACTAGTCCCAAAACACTGTGTCCAAATTCTATTAAGATACATGGCATTTCAAGATATTTCGCCTTTCTTCTACCTTTAGGTTTCTCCCTCTCAGGAAAGATTCCAGCTGCACTTTGAAAACAGCCTCCTCTTGTTTCTTTTACAAACAAGATAAGGAATTCTTCAAGCTGGCCGAAGTAATTGAAAGCTTGCCCATTAATCAGATAGAATTCTTCAAAAAAGCTATGCTGGATCAATCCTGCATTTCTCATCTGCTTTCCAAGACCATGTTAGAGATGAAGACATAATGCATGCCTTTCCTCTTAAAGACAAAGCCCAGTCATAGGCAGCAAGCAGGCTCCTACCAGCTAAAGCACCAGTGATTTAGTGCAAGAGAGTAACAGTCAGTCATTCCTGCAAAGTCTCTTCTGCTTCTTCCATCAACTTGGCTGCCTTTTTCCTGCAACTTTCAGCTTCCCTTCTCTACTCAGCCACTCCCTGCAGACTCTTTACATTCTTTCTCCTGACATGACTGCTCCTGTACCTTCCCCTACTGCACCTTACCGCAAAAAACAGTGTAAGGCAACTAAGAACTGCAAGCTGCAAAAAGTTAAGGTGACCCTGAAGACTGTATCTCTAGCAGACCTCAAAGGTAAAATACCTACTTGTTAAGTGTCAGCATGCCTAGCACCACAAAAGCTAGAGAGCAACAGCGTCTGCCCAAAAACTACCGCTTCTTGCAGTAAAATAGTCTTAAAGTAACAAGGAATGTTAGTATTGGACATCACTTACAGCAGAGGCACTCAAGGAAAAAAAAATCAAAACAGAAACAAAAAACCCCATAAATAGAGAGACAGAAGTTCAAATATGGCCTCCAGGATCTTAAAAGGGTTGGGCCTGTGGGTGCCTTGATGGCACTGCAAAAGTACCTTCACTGCTGAGTGTGTTTAGAGATTTTTCTTCTTGAGAATTAGAGGTTTTCAAATCCAGAAACTTGATGCTATTGTAAATAAAACGTTGCTTCTTCGTGAAGTGTTCTAGGAAAGTGTCAGTATTCATCTAATATACAATCCACTGGAGATTTATAGTACTTCAGCAACAAAATACATTCTCTTTAAAAGAAGAGATTGAGTCACGAAAGCCTGGATACTGCAAAAGTAAAATCCTTTCCACATTGGAGGATGAAGGCAACTCCACATCTTAACATGTGCCACTAAGTAATTTAACGATCAGTTAAATCTCTAGAAACTAAAAGCATCCAGCTCTTTGTCACTTTATAAGCATGGAAGTAGACACGTGATTTGATAGCAGCCATTTTTCCAGGCACAGAATAGTGGAAAAGGTAGAAAAAAAGAAGGGTACATCTTGCTGCTGTAGTACTGGAAGAATAGGCAAGGGTAGATGTTTTTCTAATCCAGTTGCAAGTTTACAGTGATTTCTAGCCATTTAACTTTTGTTTGATTTTTTAAAAAGTCATATATCTATGCTAAATTAATAATGCAATTTGAAAGTGCTGTATCCAAGACTGGCTTGACCCCAAAGTCTACACACCAGAAGTTTCACACCCTATGCATCTGCAGGGGTGTTAATGAGCACAGGCCTTGGCTTCCGCAACAGGCTGCTGAGAGTAACTATCATCAGACTCCCTTACTCCTAGTGATGTCCAGAACCGCTGCCCACAACTATTTTAAAATTGCTTCTGAACTGCCTCATCCTGTGGCACTTGGACTATTACCCATCTTTGCAAAAGGAGGGGTAAAGTACCAGGCAGCAGTTGTACTCCTTTCTTACACCTTCTCAGCAGTTTTACTGGGGATATCTTGGAGGTGCCTGTTGAAGTCAGTCCTAAACAAAACTTCTAACTGGGAACTTCCAGTCTTTAGGAAACACCTTTGCTGTGAAATCGTTTATGTAGGAGACCTCTCCAGCACTCCTGTCGCTAGAGGCAACAGATAAACACACCCCCACAGAGAATATACTGGAATTCAGTTTTGATAGCAAGTAAGTTATTACTAATTCCTGACATCCACTGTCATGCTGGAAGTATGCATCAGAAGAAGAGACAACTAGAAAAACACAGTTGTCAGATGATCTCAAACATTTTAGTAGTTTGTAAATCAGAACATTTCTGCATTAACCTGGGCTGGTATAGTGTTGAAAACCTGGTAATTTCTGACATGCTGTTGAGAAACCTCCCGCTTCATGAGAGTGACAAGAAAGCTGACAAACATACAGGGGGGACTTTATGCTTACTCAAGAGGTTAGCTGCTAACATCACAGACTGAAAGAGCATAACTAAACTGTAAGAATATGTTTCTTATACGTAGTTGTATAGGTGGCATTTAGCACAAGTTCACTGCCACTTTAATTTACTGTTAATACCATGTCAAATAAAACCCAGACTCAAGAATGCTGAAATACAGTAATTTTAGCTGGCTCAATATTATATTTACAGGAAAGATCCAAAAGAAACAACACAGATCAAGCGTGACACGTAATGAGGGGCAGGAAGCTGCCATGTCCATCCTCTCCAGTGCAATAACTATGAAAGAACAACTGCTTTTCGCAGAAATTGTAGTACAGTGTATAGTTACTGAATAATGTGGAAAGAATACCTGCTTACCCCAGTGTGGACCTGAAAACTAATGTTCTTAGCTGTTCAACAATAAAGTAACTCAGTCCTAAGTGTATACAGTTTTCCATTTCCATATATATGAGAGAAGTCTATTAGCTAAAAGCACAGCAAACAGAGGTAGTTGGACAGTTTACATTTCCTGTTCCACCTAGCATCCAACACACAGGCACCTCTGGTATAGCTAGTTAAATTAGAGGCCTTGTTACAATAGCTGAACTCAATATTGCTTCATCTACCTTATGAGCTGGCATAGAGCACCAGAGCAACCAAACTAACCTCCAAAGAGATCCACTTCAGCAGTGGCAGCAGTAAGAGTTGTAGTTGTAGCGGCAGCAGCTGAAGTAGTTGTAGTATCAGTAGTTGCAGCAGTAGTTGCACTAGGCTCTGGGGCAAATGGATCTGAAATCTGTGGCTCAGAGGTAACACCGGAAAGTGCAGCCAGGTTATCTATATGCAACCATATAATGAAGATCAAACAGGAAAAGTAAGGGGAAGAGGGAGAGAGACCACAATCACTTAACTCCAGAAAGTTGGAGTTTTTAATAAGGAGTCTTAACATTCAGAAGTCTTAGAAATCAAAAATATTACTCACCCTCTCCCAAGAGGTCTAGTGATTGTCCATTAAAATGACAGCAGAATAAAGAAACAGACCAATTAGTAGAACTGCCAGATTGAAGATGTTCATTAGCCATATGTTCATTCTCTAAGTGACATGTCTAGGATTTTCCAACATTCAAGAAGTTACCGTTACATGACAAAGCTCATTCTGTTTAATAGCTCTATTCAAAACAGCACCAGTACATATTTGATAAGTTCCTTAATATCTAATCAGGAAGATGTTCAAACACTGGTAGTATTTATCACTTCTGGTTTATATATCTGGTTTTCTTTTCTTAAACTCTAACAGAAAGAACCAAGTAGTGGCCTGTAAGGGTTGACAGGAAGGTGTCCTACCTTTCACTACCCCAGGGTAAAGCCAAGAACCACTTCTTTAGAAGCTCAGTTCACCACTATACTAGTTCTCTCTTGCATTTGGCTTAGCAGTGTGAGAGTAAGACCAGAAGTAGGTAGACGACTTTGAAGTTTACGAACAGCTAACATGCCCCAAGAACACTGAAAATTTTAAATGCAGGTTCCTGGGCCTAACAGCACACAGATTCAAGACTTTCACCAAGTAAAAGCATACATGGGAAGAGTGAGCCGCAATGAACCCCAGTGCTCACATGTAAATACAGTAAACAGGCATAGATGAAGCTTATTTAAATCAGTGAGCTGTTAGCAGAACATACTCGGATACCAAAGAGAATCTCAAGATAATTCTGCTTGGTTGCAGGTATTTGCTAGACCAAAGTAGTCAGAAAACAGTCAAAATCAACATTACAGTCATTAAAAGTGGACAGAATTCAGCTTACTGTTCTGCCAAAGTGAGCTGTTGTGATCCATCCATCAGCCCTAGAACCCTTCACAAAACTGGCACTAAAGCCAGGGTACTCTAGCAGAGAGCAGCCTGCAAATACAGTTAAGTTACTTCAGGATACAATACGTCCTTACTGCCCCAAGTATATTCTGAGGGGCAGACAGGCTGTGGTTCTTGTACTTGAGACAACTGTTTAGCAAAAAGAAAAAAAAAAGAAATAGGAGAGCAGCTCCTATTTAAAGTTTTTCCTGCACTTGTGATAGAGCAAGCGTACTATGCAAAAACAACTACCCCTGTTAACACTTGCTATGAGGAGTATGAATGATTGACAGCATAAGCAGGTTGGCTCTGTTGCAACTTCGGTTCCTTAGTCAACTGCTTTTGGAAGCCAATGAAGCACCTTTAATGACACTTTCCTACAATTTGATGTCCTCTGAGATCAGATTGAGCTCAAAAACAGAGGAAGCTTTGCCCACATAAAAACCAACTACGAGCTATAAAAACCGGTGAAAACTAATCAGTTTGGCCTATTACATTTTTATATTGCAGTTAGAATAGTCTGAGCTCAGCAACTACCTATTTACTAACCAGTAGCTCAGTGCCGCTCCTAGATTCATTGTACACGTAACAGGGTCATGGGTTCATCTGATCCACACTGAACAGCAAGCACAGCGTCCAGATGCTTTACTATGGGTCAGTATGTAGGAAGCAAAATGCTTGGAGCTAGCACAGCTCAATCTTCACAAATTTGTCTTTATTTCACAACAGTTGTTTAAAAGGCACCAAGAAACCACATATAGGTATTTTCGTAATTGGTTCCTTGGGAAAGCTCTACTTGAGAGTGACTGCACAAGCTGAGGTAAGTCAAAATACCATTCTGAAAGAGCATAACAGTATATTAAAAATGCAGCACTCTGGTATCTCATTACCGCACAGCAGGTGGACGTCTCACAGCTAGACTTGAAATAAACAACTGTTGGCAAACTTTTACTTTCCACTAGCTTACTCTTCAATGCATTTTTGTTATCCAGTTATGTTATAGATCACAATACAGTGAAATTACAATTATCCAGCATGGCAATCTACACTTACTCTTAATATAGGAAGGATTAAAACTAATGCTTTACTGTGTAGTAATATTAAAGTAACAAAACTAGTAGCAAATCCATGTTCTAAGGCACACTGCAAGGTAGTTCAGAGCAGAAATTCAAGTCAATTTGCTTTTATATCCAAAAGTCAAACCTCGCGAGCATGCAGAATTTGACTTACTGTATTTTTTGTAATACTACAGTCTAGTTTGCTTGCCAAATGCTTATCTATTCCCCTTGCGATATGCTGCAGGCAACTTATTACCCTACCTTGATCACCTCCTGTTAGCACAGAAGTGTAGATTTTCACAAGTTATAGTTCATTTGCTAGATAATGTATCTTGTATTCAGAAATGTCCTAGGTATACAACACAATATATAGCGTACTGTATATACCACTAAATATACAGTGTACTATACTGAATATACAGCATATGCCAGAATACATAGAATCTACACTGCCAGTGAGACTGAGAAAGCAGGATTGTTTGTTGGTGACATGTATTCCTGAGGTTTATGTGATATTTAAAGTGCCAGTTTGACGCTGCATCTTGAAGTATTTGATATTCACATTTTCCTACCTGTTCTGAACTGCAGCAATTCTTCCCGCCTCCTCCCCCTACTACATCTTTCTCATGAGTCCCCACGTTAACTTGCTGTGAGCCAGAAGAGTTTTGAAGATGACAAAGAAGCGCCAGTAGCAGGGAGGCACTGTTACACATCCTCCCAAAAGTCCTGGGTGGAAGGAAGGTCATCTTGTCTAGCCTCCTGCTCAGAACATTATGCCCAACACCAGATCAGGGCAGTCATGGCTTTGCCTAGTCAGGTCTTGAAAAGTTCTCCAGGAATGGAGAGTCCACTAGCTCACATCAGGGATTTGCTCCAGTACTGCCCTACCCTCCAAGTGAAATAATTTTTTCCTCATGTCCAATCAACCTCTGAAGCTGCAATTATTACCCTTCATTATAATCAACTATCCTTCCCAAGAAGATTTTGGCTCTGCTCTGTAACTCCCCTTCAAGTAGTTGTAGGCCACTATTAAGAGTCCCCTTTAGCCTCCTCTTTCCCAGATGACAGAGGTCCAGCTCCCTCAATCTCTCTGCAGATGTGCTCTAGATCTCTGGAGTCCTGGTAGCACTCTGCCAACCCCCTTTCCCTTAAACAGGAGAGCCCAGAACCGGATGCAATATTCCTGATGTGGCCTCACCTGCACTAATTAGAGGGCTCTGCAGTACCTATGAGACCACACAATTTATAATGACTACCGGCTTCATCCTGTAGACTTAGTTTAAATAAGTAAATAAAAAAAACAACGCATAACATAGGCTCAAAGGTCTTCTCATTACCAGATGAAACATTAATGGAAATTTCAGTACTTTTACAACATAGCCATTCCAGTTCTCAATTTATGCATGTCTGACATGGTGTTTGGCAATTATTTAAAAGAGTTTAAAAAAGAAAAAAAAAGGCAAAAAAAGCAGCAGGATTCCAGTGCAGTAACAGGTCATCATACCTGGACTCCTGCCAGCAGTAAAACAGACAAACTTGAAGCTTACTAAGTTACCAAAATGCTATTCTGAAAGATAAGACTGAAATATACTTGATGAAGTTAGCGATAATCCTGGCCAAAGGAAAAAAGTTAGCTGTCCTTTTCCATTGTGGAATAAGAGGAATAGTGCATTACTAGTAAATCTTAAAGTTTTCAGTAATTCAGGAGAATAAAAACACCTAAGTTTCAAACTACAGGTGCTTTGTCCAAAAGAGCAAAGTAAAAAACCAAATAAATCAGCTTTCAATTGCAATGAGAATCAATATTTTACAATATTAATGGCTATTTACTCTGCATAAATGAGCAACTGCTTAAAGAAGTTAGCTGAGAGGCCTGAGCTCTTTCGAACATCTCAAAAGTTTGTGTTCCAGTACTTGGCAATGACAAAGCAAGACAAATAGGATGCAACCAAAACTTGCAGAATAATTAGTCCCAAACATCCTAGAATAGATGACTTTTTGGTCTTGCTTTCTGGGTAAGATTACATTTCAGTTAATAAAACTGACACTTCTGAAAAAAAAAAAATTCAATTCAACAGATTAAATAGCAGTATGCAAAACACGGTCTACATGACAGCCATAGCTATCCTCTCATGATGAAGTGGCTGAGATACAATGTCATCTTTAACGACTAAAGCTAAGAACAGAAATAGGGAATGCAGAAGCCACTAGTACCCATTATTAGCATGCATAGCAGAGTCAGCATGACTCAGCGTAGCATCCCTGCCATGAGCAGGCTGATGAGCTCATTAAGCTGCCACACAAGTGAAGATCTCTTAAGATTACACCAGTGTGTGTTTACAACTATGTAAGTTAAATCACATTTACTGGCCTAATTCCTTGTCTTCACAGGACAGGAGTGAACATTGCCTACATTTATTGCGGTCCTCTTCAGATCACCAGCTGCTGGTGCTGCCTGAACAACAGGCTCAGCTCACCACAGAGCTCAGATTTCAGAGCTGGTTAGGTATTCCTATTTGAAAGCAGTTAGCCCTCTACTTCTATTTTCATATTATTACTCTAAGCAGACAAGGAAGATTTTTATAAAATATGTTAAGGGTTGTCAGAGGTTATCACACTTGCAGCAGAGCTAATTTGCCACCATTGGCTTTAGATGCCTTTTTGTTTTCAAAGATTTTTTTACTCCTCCTCCTACTGATCTGTGGGCTTTGCTTTATGAACAGAAGAGTTGATTTCTGCCCTCACCTTGCAATAAGCACATGAGCAGTTCCAGTTCTTCTGTTTTAAAGTGTCTACCCTACCTGTTCACCTTCAGCCATCTCCTTCCTGCTCACTTTTAGTCACATAATCCTGGCTCCCCCCAGCTTTGCAGTCAGGCCCTTTTAAGCAGCTTATACTATTATGCATATCCCTGGAAAAAGGAGTAGCCTTTTGCTGCGAAGGGATGCCTGACTGTCAGGTCAGCAGAAGCCTGGGAGTGAGCTGGGAACATCCTGTGCTAGCAGAGACAGAGCCAGGTTTCAGTTCAGCCAGGCAAGGAGATGGAGACTGCAAGAAGAGATGCTGACAGTGAGGTTTCTCTACCTCCCCATGAAGTGGCTCCAGCAGGGGCTGCTGGAGCTGCCTGTCCAGTAGCGGGAAAATCTTGCTGAAGATCCAGAAGATCGCTAGATGGTTTGGAAGAGCTGCCAAGGAAAGAAAGACAGATATTAAACACTGGAGGAATTTGTCCATTTTAATCAAGTTAAAAAAATCATGACTGGATTGTAGGAATTACCCTTAGTTTGGATGACTGATGAAACCATTGAGAGAGACTGTTTCCAGGCCTTAGGATTAGAGCAGTGGCCATAAACACCTCTACTGCATTAAGTGCCAAGAACATATTACCCCCCAGGATGGGACCTTAACTTACTTCCATTACTTGATAATGACATTGTAACAGATCTGAGACTTTTACAATCCTAAAAAACGAAACAAAACACAAACAAAAAACCCCAAAACCAAAATCCCAGCTGATTCCTAAGAACAGAGCGAATAACTGCTGCGACTGAAAACAGCTCCATTCTACTTCAATATTTCTTTGTGCCATGTCAGAAAGCAAGAAACACGCATTTCCAGGCAATAAACAGGCATTAGGTAGAAGAGAGTTGGTAAAACTTCTATGGCTTAAGCCAGCCAGATATTTGCTTAGGAAACAAGGTCTTGTTCATGTAGAACATTTAAATAATAAACAATAAAAGCTCTTTCTTTAGTGAAGTACTTCACCTGACATTTAACTGAAGTTAGTCACGTCTTCAGACTTTTGGTTCAAGCTCAGAGCTTTTACATGTCCAGAGTTATTTCATTTCTGCTCATTACAATAAGCAACAGCAGTTTGGTCTGGTTTTGACTTGAAAGCAAGGTTCAGATATTCTCATTGGTTAAATGTTTATTTTTTATTTTAACCTCCAAAAGTTCATTATTTTTGTGCTTCATTAACCGATTTGAACAGCAAGAAAAAGGAATCTTAATTCAGCAGTTTTAGAAACAGAATACTGAAGGTCAGCAAAGACTACTTTGGATTTGCACATTACTTCAATCTATTCTATTAAAAGTTTATGTTGGGAATGGTACAACATCACTACTCCACTGAAAGCAAATCAGAGTAGCCACAATTTTTGTTTTTTGTTTTTGTTTTGTTGTTGTTGTTGTTTTTTGGGGTGGTTTTTTTTTTGTGGTGTTTTTTTTTGTTACAGCTCATTTGTGATCTCTACTGGTAGAATAATGTAGCCCATTCAATACTGATGTACACTACCTGTAAAGTAAGCAAAATCTTGCAGGCAAGCCTCCTGTTACAAGTGTGACTTTGGCATCTACATCAAGCTCAGTAAGTCAAATATGCTTTTTAACTTACCTGACTGGAGCAGCTGTAGATGAAGTTGCAAAAAGGTCAACTGGAGGAGATGTATCAATAGTTTTTGCTGGAGTAGAACTAGGAGATGTAACAGTTGTGGCTGGAGAAGACTGGAGAAATATTTTAAATATACATTCAATATACCAGCATTACTCCACAAACAACTCAAGCAGAGATTCACATACTTTAAAAATCCAATTCTGACATCAGGTCATCTTGTTGAGAGCTGTTCCCCCCTTTGAAAGAATTTAACGAAGACTGGGCTAAGTTTTCAGAGGGTGGTGGAGTTGAGAAACTCCAAGGTGACTCCACCTAGTGATGCCTGGCTCAAGAGGAAATCCTACTGCATGCATTCAGAGCACCAGCGGCCCGTCTCATGTGAGCTTTAGTCCTCTGGGTTCAAGGCTCACCCAACATTTGGGCAACTATCTCAGACTTGTGATCTGGATGGCCTTAACCTGCCTTTTAAAATCCCCTTTAGGGTAACTAACAGTTACTATGTGTCAAAGGATCCTCAGCAAGTTCCAAGAAAATAGCCAGCTCCCCAGCAAAGTCCCTCCTCTCAGTTTTAAGACCATCCTGAAGATGGGAGCAACAAAGTATTTTTGTGGGTTTGTTTTACATCTGTCAGACCCTTCTTTTTGTCCACAGAATGAAGTATCTATTCATCCATAACAGGACCTCAGTACTCTAACCATAGAAATGGTGGGAGAAGAGAAATGGTTAGAAACCAAGTTAAAAGTGTGTACGTAAACCTTCAGACTGAAGAGAGTTTAAAGAGCCATCAACAGTGCTAAGGGTTAAGTCCTTGGGAAGATATAAAGGCAGCTCAGCCTATGATTTTGCTTCATTAGCTCCTCCAATTCTGCATAAAGATACCTTAAGTATAGCAAGGACAGACACCCAGGAGAGTATATTGCAACTCTTCTGTGCACTTGAAGACTCAAGTTACCTTGAAGAGTGTCAATTTAATTCTGAAAGATACCACAAGCTTTGTTACAGCATCTCACATGCTAGAGATACCCTTTTCCTATGAAACAAGTCCTACGTTTAGTACTGTTTGCCATTCTGACCACTTCCAAGAAAGAAAAAGAATGGCAAATTTGAAGGGATTTTCTTCTGAGTTCTGCTACTGCCATCCCATCATCACAACTCTAGCAGGAGATGGATATAACTTTCTAGACTCTCCTGAAGCCTTTACTAAGGTTTGGTCCGAATTCTTCATGTGAACCAGGGAAAAAGGGGTTACTTAACATTGTAAGAACACTTTCTGAGCCATAATGTAGTTCTCACCAACTGCTACTGTATTGGATAAGAGGTTTTTTTGTTCATTTGTTTTTAAAAAAAAAATTGCTCTTCAGAAAGAATTTAAGAGCTTTCACTAGAATCAATCATTGAACCATCTCCCTCAGATTCAGAAGTTTTCACTGAGTTTTTTCTGCACAACACCTGTTACTAGACACAGAACTATGGCACCTGGCAATGCTTCAGGGATACCAGGAACTACTATTACTAACACCGTAAAGCTCATTAGTTTATCTGACACTGAAACCAAGACATTTTCACTGGCAACTCTTGCTTTAGATTAAGGTGAGCAGTCTCACTAATAAAGGTCAATTCTGAAATTAGGTATATCAGATGAAAGTTTTCTTGGCTTTTCACATAAATATGGTTTTTAAAGAGTTAGCACTTCCTCCTAAAAAGCTGCAAATGGAATAAAGAATTTGGAGGAGAAATAGTACGGAGAAAGTTTCTCACTGACATGAGGATTAAAAAAAAGTTGAGACAAAGCTATGGGTTTCTTATATTTTCACAAAGCGTGACCATCAAATCCCACACTGGAGTAAGTACTACGGCCCTTCAGACCAGCAAAGTGCTTTTATGGGGCCATTATTTACAAGGCCATTTAAAGATGCAACTTCATCACTTAGGTAGGGCCTAGGTGGCAAAGTCTAAAAAGCAGATTAGGAGATGGAAATTTAACTCTTTATGCCCTTAAGATGTTCTAAAGCATACCACCTAAACAAGAACTAACTAGTACAGCAACTGACAGTATTTACCTTGCTCAGAGGAGAAGGAGCCCCAGATCTAGAAGAAAAAAAGGTGGGGGTTCAGATAAATATACTTTTGGAAACTATGTTTCTAGTCATCAAGATTCATGCAAAAAGACCAAAAGCTAAGCATGACACCTTTCTGAAGATCTCTACAATCTCATGCCCTCCCCATTTCTCAAACTTTCACATGTCACTTCAGACAAGGAATGCAAATTGTTACTTCAAAGCTTAAATGAATCTTTTAACCTAACTGCTATCACAGGATTATTCTGCCTCTTAAATAAGCTCGACTAAATGTAGGAAAGGCAGAGATGCATGCAAGTGTCTTGCATTAGGGCCTACAGGAGCCAGTAGGAAAGAGTTATTGAGGCAAGACGTCACCATATTATAAAATCATGCAACAGCAGCAGAATAAGACCCATACGGAAGCAGTTATCTAACGTAAGTCTTCTGAGGATGTGTCAGCGAATTTTCAAAGTCTACTATTCTTTTACAGAAAGTCAGAGTTACTTTAAAATAGTAATATTTAAAAGTATGGAAACAGTTGGAAAGTCCAAGCTGAAAGTTCTCCCACATGCAAGAAAATCACACTAACCTTAATCGTAAATTAAAATGTATGTCGGTGTATTTATTTACTTTCATTATTATGAGGTATGAAAATACTGCTAAATATTTTTAGAGCTGCTTTGATCTAAGAGATGAAAGGAGGAGTTGAAGTTAAAACTGCACCAGTATTGAACTAGCATCCATCCTATAGGTTATTGAATTGGATAAGTCCGAGGAGCTGTAGAACTGATTAGAAGATCTGGCGCTAAGACAGAACTGACTAAAAATAACTTAGTGACTGTATACAAAAGCAAGCAACAGTTTAGGCACAATTTAAAGAAGATATCTATTTCAAATTGTTCAAGCCATCTTAAAAAAAACATAACCATGTCTGCATGCAAGTGATATGTAAACATATGTACTTACCCTTCGCTAAATTGCAAGGAAAGCAACAGTAAAAGAGAAAACACAGGTTTAGCTTAATCCTTCCTAGACTTAGCCATGACAAGTATCTAGTAAGAAGATGCAAAGCCGTTAGAAAACAAATCAATTTTGATGATAAAAGCCTTAGCAGCAAGGAAAAACAGTTCCTTCTAGGAGTTTTCCATAGTTAATTTTACTTCACTTTGGAAAGTGTCTAGTTGTTTGGGGTACTGTTTCCCCCCACCCCCAGTAATAAAAAAAATGTTGCCATTAAGACACCTTTGTAAGGGAAAGGAAAAGCCTAGTCTTACCACAGCTTATTTTTCAGCTAAGAGACAAAAGGAGGTTGGGGGAGGCAAACCTAAACATCAGCTAGTCTCACGTTGTTACTATTATGCCTTGATACATGGTACAACATATATACCTACTTGTTGCCAGGTTTTTTTCCTTCCAGTGAGTTTAGATGTTGCTCAAGGGTCTCCATGAGACTGCTAGGAGCCTTGAAAGCAAAGAGAAAGTTACACTTCTAAACACAACACATTGACCTAACGATACTTCAAAATCCAGCACTAACTTCCCTGAAGTCCACCACGTGCATGCTCATGCTGTTATTTTATTTACACCACCGTGAAAATAGTGGATTTCCATGCTAGAAGTATTCAGGCAAAGACAGCTTTTGAAAGATAATACTGTGTCCAAATTTGCAGAGAGAAAACATTTACCTCTAACTAAACAGCGCCTGAAGCCTAAATCCAGGACATGCTGCTAATCATGCTTTGAGTCAGTGTTAAACATTGACAACAGCACAGGCATCCTCAGGGTTAATTTTAAGAGTAATAGGTTGAAGGTCATCCTTTCAGTTTTGCTTTTAGTCAGACCTCTTTCATGACCAGAGGGTTAGATAATATTTGCAGTCTAAACAAAACAAATAAAAGGCCTTTCCAATGCCCCCAAAAGCAGCTACCTTTGGTTCAAGACTCCCAATATCACAAAACCTTATAGCTGTTTCTTCTCAAAATGGTAGGCAGGCACAGGTAACAGCCCAGCAGCTAACTCAAAATTCAGGAAGATCACTATTTTAGACATGTACAAAACCTAAGCTTTTTCAAGCGTCCCTGATCTTAGGTTTTATTTTAAGCAACCTTTTTGTGGTCAGGCAATACCACCAGGCATGCACTTGCTGTTACGATGGTAGATAGGAAAAGTAGCCATTAAATGCAAACGAGTGTGCTTAGCTACTCCAGTATAAAAATAGAGTCTAGATACGTAGACTCCTACAAGATCAACAAGCAAGGAGGAAACCCTTGAGAGATACAGTAGCATATAATAGTCAACTATTTCATCAGGGTTACCGGTTCATCAATGGTACAGTCTTTAAACAGGGAATTCTCTTTATCAGTCTCTTTCAGATCAACCACAATTCCTGACAGCAATACCTACAGTGTTTTTCATAAATAATGTCTTTAATTTCAGGATATACATATGCAAAAAAGTCCGTTTGCAATGCTTGAAAACAGACTATCCACTGCTCTTACATACAGTATGCTGAAAACCACCTGGCTGGCTAAATCAGATGTTTCAGGATGCTTAGTACCTGCTAATACCAATGCACAGCTAAGTATTTATAGTGTCTGCATATTAATTTTGGCATTAAAATTGAGCAGTAAGGTAACTTAACACATGCAGAAACTTAAAATGCTCAAGAAATCGTTAAATGACGGCTTGAGTTTAAATATGCTTTTATAAGCATATTTATTAATTTTCAACTAATTTAAGCACAAGAAAGAATTTGGTTAAACACAAATGACAGTTACAAGAACTCTCCAGCAGCAAGAAAAAGATTAGCAAATGCTCTCATTTGCTAAAACAAAAAAAAAAGAGTTCTACATATTCAAAAAGGCTACAGCATAAGATACAAGTTGTGCCTACTTAATCGCGTAAGCAGAAAGCTGTTTAAAAAAAAAATCCATTATTTGCTGTAACCAGTTACCTCTACACACTTTAAATAGCTTTCCAATATATTATTCACAGGTTTCTTAAAAGCCAACAAGGTAATATGAAACTCGCCTATCAAACAGAATTCACAGAGGAAGCTTCAGAAAATTTCTACAATGCAACAATTGGAAATTAAATATTGTCTGGTATCCAATTTGCAACACTGAACATTGCTTAATTTCTTCTAGATACTGCTTCAACATTAGACTAGTATATCAGTCAGCATCGTGGTGGAACCTTAGATATGGGTTGCCCACTAGCTATTTGGGGCAAAACTGCCATACTTTAAGAATTGCTAATAAATAAAAACAAGCCAAGCTCTTTAGCTGCCAAGATGTCTCCTCAGCCTCCAAAACCTTGCAGCCAAACTAGAAAGTTCAAAGATGACAGCTATCAACTTGTATTTCAGTACTGTGACCACTTGTTTGGAGAGTACGTACGCACATCAAGTGTCAACACAACCAACTTCTTGTGGAATACTGCTGACTATTGCCATGGCTTGCTTTAGAAATTTAGGTATAACATTGATATTATATACAATTATATATTACTTATTAGCTGAAATTCAGATTTATTATTCACCTTTTATTTAGTTTCACTGAAGTACACTGCCTAGGTCTTATACACAATCTACAGCATGTTGCAGATTAGCAAGTGAGTCCCAAGCAGCCTCTGGGAGAATACAGCTATGAGGGACTACCTGTGAAGACCACTGAAGTGGTCAGGCAGTTGGACTAGATGATCATTGTAGATACCTTCCCCCCAAAGGAACTATTATATTTCTATTATATTTTAAAGCATTGGTTCATGAGGTGAAAGGGACACTCCACTAGCAGCAACTAAGGTGCCGCTGAGCAAGTGCAGCACTGACTGATGATGCAGAACAGGGCTTGTGCAGGCCCAACAGGCAGCCTTTCCAGCAGGCTGATGCAACACAAGCAGAAGCAGATAAAAGTGCTACAGGAATTTATAAAGCTTATTTCATCAACTGAGCTTAAGGTGAGTTCTTCTGGTTCAAGGACTTAGTTCATAACTGACTGGACCTTGTTAAAAATTAGCCCCTGGGGTACAGTTAGGTGAACATACTACTTCAGCTATTTCAGAATTGGGTTTGGTATTCCACACACTGCTACAAGTCTAAGCTTTCCTCTGCTGAAAGGAGTGGTCAGATTTCATAGCCCCATAGCATCTGAAACCCATAAAGATTAAAACTCTCCACCTTCACATCATGTCTCTCATTAAGAATTTTTAACTGGCTTTTTTAACCAAGAGAACCACTATTCTGATGCTGATTTAAACCAAGCTTTCAAGAGGCTTTGAAAAACTACACATTCATAGGTTATGAACACCTAGGATTTACAACTGTTAGGCAGTTTGGGCTGCTCTTCAGTTCCAATTTTACTGGCATCAAAACTGCCACGAGTGAACTCTTCAGCATGGATCTCTTGCTCCAAGTAAATATCCTTTTCACATTAAACACAAAGCCAGGCACCCAGGCCAATTTGCAAGTGATGTTGAAAATGGACCAGCATAAAAGAATTTAAGCAGCTACAGCATAAGTGAATTTTGATGTTAAAAGTTTTGAAGCATACCGACAGATGTTAAAAGTTTTGATGCACACTGACAGGGAAGTTCAGCAATCAAATCACAACTGCTGCATTTAAACTTCAAGGTCACTGTACCTAGACCAAGACAGTAGTGCTACTGCGGCTCTGAATTTCATCTCTGGACCAAGACTGTGTCAGGGAGAGATTATGAAGCAAGTCACACCACAATCTCTAAGCAGTCTGTCGTCAAAAATGAACTTGAGCTACAAGCTGCAAAAATCTGTCCTTTAGCAAGGAAACAGCAAAACAGTCTACCCTTCAACTATAGGTCAGAAGACATCGTGAAAGACATTATTTTAGTTATATCAGTCTTCAAAAATAGCTTTGGGCAGTTCTTACTTGCAAGTTGGGAGGGCTTTAAAATGTTAGGTAGTATGACTTCCGACCAACATTTACATTCCTGGTATGCTTCCTAATTACAGAACTTTTAGTTATTACACAGATCCAAAAAGACTACAAGAGAAGCTTACCTGTGTAAGATCAGGGATATCACCTTTGTCAATGCCAACTTGCTGTGGATATAAAAGAGGTAAAATGTAAGTGCGTTATTCCACTGCAGCAGGCACTAATTTTGACTAGAACCGTGGTACGCTCTTCAACCTATAATGCACTTTATTTTTAGAAAAAGACTACAAAGTTCGCAAGCGCAGATGCCCATCTTTCCAGTAGCTACCTTAACAACCTGCAGCAGTTTTTTTTTTTTTTAACAAAAAATATCCATTAAGAAAAAAAAGGGAATTCGATTCCACCCAGGTAAAGTTCATACTCCATACTGCAAGTCAGGCAAGGCTTTCTGGTCATACACTGTTGTCTCAGAGGACACCATTAGTGAACTGCCAAACACATACTGTCCAGATACCTGACTATCCTAACGAAGTTGTCTGAAATCCAGCCAGTGAGCAAATCCCAGAAGACATCACTAAAAAATACTAAGGCTCAAGTCACTTTGTTGTTCTGCCCTTCTCTCCTAGCATTTCAAATACCACAAGATGAGGTCTAAGTCTGCAATCTTCTATTAGTTGTCCTGTTGCTTCACTGTGGCTCTTCAAAGTGTCTGTTGGTTTAGCTTTTGCAGAAGAACAAGCTCCACTGCATCTAGTAACCCTGAAATACAGTCACTATAATCCCTGTCCTGCAAAGCTGACCTATAGGTGTCTAAAGTACTTCACTCCCTCAAGTTCAACATTCGTATCAGACATTACATGCCATTCAGGAGTCTAGCAGGCTCCTTCATAAACAGTTAACTAAATTAGCAATGGAACAAACTCTTTATTCAGCTCATTACTGCTGGCTATTATAATGAAGCATAAAACATGGAAAATGTGCATCTTGTGCCAAGGAGCCAACTACCACAAATGAGAGCCCAGCAAAAGAGTTAATTAACCATGTAATACTTGTATTATCCACATAAGAGGATGATAACAAGGATCAAAACCAGGAAAATCTCACATTCCAGTTAACTTGTAGTTGGCTGCAAAGAGCTAAAAAGCATACTTATAAAATCATTGTGCTTTTATTCCTAATGGCTATATCTTCCTCTAATGTTCAACTCTATCCTAGAAGCATGCATTTATTGCAGCATTTCCAAGAAATATTGACGCAGTTGAAGTCATGTCACCTGTTACATTACCAGGAAAGTTGAGGCTGGCTGCACAGTAGAGACATATGGAAGCCTTAAGCAGGGCTTAACTAGTTCAAGAGCAGCTGAACAAGCAGGTCCAGGAACTTCTACACTGCCTCACATTCATACACAGTGAGTCAGATGCTTAACAAGTGCAATCAATATTTTATATAGGCTAAAAAAAATTCACAAAATACTTAAGTGCCAGACTCCAGAAGACTGGAAGTCACTTACCTCTGCAACTTTAAGAAACTCTGATACTCTGGTCATTCGAGTAAGAAATCGTTTGTAGATTTCAAGAGCATCTTTACATTGTCCCTTTTTCATTTCAAAAAATTTCTCTAGAGAAATAATTCGGCAAATTTCAGTTAAGATATCTTACATTAGGTCTGCATTCATCAGCAACTCTAGTTTTCAGGAAAATCACTTTTCAAGAATATTGCACTCCATTAACATTTTTCTACTTGGACACTAATCTAGTGGTATTCCTAGTCCTTAGTAGAATTTAGAAGCTGGACTTACTGAGCTGCTGAAGAATTATATAGACTGGAAAATTGCTCCCCCACCAGCCATAGCATTGTGTGTGATGTAAATCGGGTTTTTAAAGATAAAAAATAAGCAGATGAAGTAGCTACCAAAGTTAAAATTCAAAGTAATTAAGGATACTTAAACATATATTAATATATGTCCTCTCCCAAGTTGTCTTCACTCCCAAGAACAGTACTTTTTTCCACTTGAGTAGCTCTCTAAAGTTAGTTCGTGTCCATTATCAAGCATAACTGCCACGTATTTTAACCCAAACTTACGCTTTAAGTAGCAGAAGACAGCGAAATCGTAATCCAATTGTTACGCCCAACACATTTGTATCTGCTCCATAAGCTTCCTATGCCTATAGTTTCAGTCAAAACAGCTGGGACTTACTTTTATGAAACCATAGAAAGTGTTGCAATATGGATAAACATGAATAAAAAAAATTGTCTGAGCTTTACAGCTCAAGAACATCTTTTTGCCTGTTCAGTCTCTGTAACCTCTCTGTTTCTTCCTGTTGTAGTTGCAGCCAGAGTTTTAGGTCAGTCATGCTGGCCAAGCAATCTCAGTTTTTAGCTGTCTTTATAGGCCAGCTGACATGCTCACAAGTTTTAATAGTTGAAGCTCATTTTCTACAGGGTCAGTTGTGTTTCCTGCAGTTTACAGCAACTTCTGGTTTTAGACTTCATAACAAAGCCTTTTGCAGGGACAGCTTAAGGTGTGTTATGCTGGTGATCACGCCAAGCTGTCTGAGCTTCAGAATGTGCTCACACACTCCTATAGACTTTGTAGGCTGGCGGTAGGTAGGGTTCTGGAGGCGATCCAGCTTTGGTAGTCACGCTTTCAGATCAGGAATGTTATTCAGGAGTACATTACTTCATATAAGGCTATCCCATAGCATATATAACAGAAGAATCTGGGCAATCAAATAGCAAAAGTTGCTTCGCTAACCTTGCAGGACATATTAAGGAAGCTCACACAGCACTGTACGTTTCTTTAGGCACAGAAATGCGCAATGTCTTTAAGTAGACTTCTGTACAATTTTAAGGACATATGACAATCCAGCCTCAGATGAACACTAATGTAAGAGGTTATAGCTTAAAGTTTTCTCTCACTTCAGAATAGAATGGTCAAGAAAAATGTATTAAGTTTTAATGAAAATTAAGTAAAAAAAACTGAAGCAGATCTGAAACTCGTTTTTCACTTGGTCGTGGTATGTGAGATATAAACACCAGGTTACTTACCTAGTAAGTTAATAACCCCATCATTGTAGCAAGCAAAAAGTTTGATAAGATCTTTAAACAGAAGCATGAATGCAGCATTTATGACACCATTTGTCAGTTCATTTGGATGAACCTACAAATAAAATATCAGTTATTTACAGCAGATTTACTGAATGCAATCAGAAGTTTTGACGTGCACCAGGTATCTGATGCTGTTATAGTGAATACAAGCTTTCACACAAAGAAACCAAACAAAGGTTTCAGTTAGCAGATCACGGATTGCTTTCTTCACCACTCCAAAACAATCCACTATAGCACAGGAGTATCCCCATCAACAGTAAACATCTTAGTCTTGAATCCTTCACCTATCACAGAGGTGGAAAGCAGAGATGCTATTAACAAAGCTTTAATGAAACTGGACAAAAGATGTCAGTTCACAACAGAGCTGAACAAAGCCTCAGTGGTTTACTAGGTAATACAGTTGGTTAATGATGTCAAGACCCTTCCAGTTCTCACATTAACTTGGGCAGAAAATAAGTGCTTATTTATTAAAAGATCTTTGTTTTATTAAAAAATATCTCCTCTTCCAACACCATTATCACAATTCTTATGCCATTTAAGAAACAAACATACATTAGCGAGACGTGTATTTCTTAGGCTTTCCTCTGAAAGCTGTAGTGGGCCCTGCCTTCCACCTGGGTGCGTGTCCTTCTGCCCACCAAGAACAGAACAACTTCAAGATGGATTCCTTCAAAGACCTCTTCACAATGTTACACTGTACCTCCTACAATAACTGACTCCTGTTTTTATCCTTAAGGCAGATAAATAATCCCACCAACATTCATAACTTTATTACATTATAATATATTGCAGACGCTTATTTCTATGAATAGTCTAGATTAAAGTTTATCCAATCCAGTTTACAGCTGAAAACCAGACGAAGGTTTTGAGGAAGCCAAACAATGTACATGTGATATTTTAATGGCTTTTTCTCTCCCCCCAAAAAGAAGTTGGTTGCCAAGAGACAGAAAAAAAGATTCTTCAGTCTCCTTGCTTCGTCCGTTTCTTCCCCTCACTGATGCAGAAGATGAAACTCCCAGCTCTGAGCCAGCATTCCTCAAGAGTCCTCATTTCCCAAACTCTTCCCCTACCCTCTCTACAAAAAAAAAGTAGAATCTGCACATTTTGTACGTATAGGAAAGGGCTATCCTTCACCTCACTCTACCTCAGTGGGATACTGAAAAGGGCATTTTTTGCCCACACAATGGGATGATCAGTAAAGCATTACCTACAAGGTGAAATGTTTTAATGACAATGCAGCATTTGTAAGTCACTGCCCAGTGTTAATGCTGGGTCAGCTTCAATACATACATCGAATTCAAGTAGTGCATCAATTTGTTCCTGCAATATTGGCATACTCTTCAGTAGCTTTTCAGGAGCCATTGTTCTCATTACACCATCAGCTCTGCAAGAGGGAATACAGATTAGAAGCCATGGTGTTTCCCCTCTCCCCAAACTGATTTGTTGTCTAAATTTAAGCTTAAAGCTGCTGTAACCCATTTCAAACATTTGGAACACCGTCTGATTCTCCTGCTTCCCGCAACATCACAAGAGCTGTCATGGAAAATACTTCATTCAGCCACACTCCCTGACAGCAGGTGAAGAAGGGTTTTGTGTTAGAGTGATGAATGCAAGAGATTGATCTTTTTATGGAAAGAAGACACAGAGTTTAAATAACTTGACAAGAAATACTGTTGCAGAAGTAGAGAACTGATAGTCTTTGTGCATTAAGTTTGTTATGAATAACTAATGACAACTCATTGCTAAGAGTACTTTTTAATAACACTTCTGTGGTCACTAACAACAAAAAACTCTATAGGTTGGTTTTTTTCCCCCCATCAAATGCCACAATATATGCATGCCAATTCAATGACAATTTAAATCAGGGCAATCTTTGCTTAGAGCTTCTTTCCTCAGTATTCCTGGATACTAAATTCCATTACTCCTTCATGGCACTTGCACTGACTTTGACCTGCCCTGTCAGTCCTGAACCATTACTCCAACAGGATCATGCAGCCATCATGGATGTGTAGCATTCCTTAATTGCTGCCCATACTCTTACAGCACTCTTCACGCATGCCCATTTTTATCTCTGAATATCACAAACCTGCACAACCACCACTATGTATTGCCCTGTTCTGGCCACTGACAGGTACAGCATCTCCTCTTGGGGAATGCATACTACCATTTTACTTATTTTATGCTATACTCTGAGGCAGCACCTTGTTTTCAGCACCAGAAATAACACACACAGAAAGCCTTTCCAGCAACATGTAGCAAGGCAGGAATAGAAGGATTCCCAGCAACTCAAATTCATGTTTATTTAACATGAAGTGTTTGAAGGCACTAGGTGACAAAGGGAATTTAAGATGCTAGTACTACAGCAGCCTGCTGGATCAAACCATGCCTGAAATATCAATCCAACTAGCTACTAGTCTTCATGTCAAAAACTTCTTAAGGATTCGTATTCCAGATAGGTTCAAGAGATAACTGTGGTCCCCACTGTGGGAATGGCATCCAGCTACACGACAGTTTGAAAAGCAGGAGAGGAAAGCCTGGCAGCGACACCTGCACTAGCAGCTCAGAATCCCAAGCTGCAGAATACACTGGAACTGCCAGAACAATCCTGCATGCAACTCATGATTAGCAAGAACATCTTTAGCATGCAGTCAATTAAGCTGCACCTTCAGTGGGTGTTATGCTACTTGCTGTGTTGTCTGTGCGTCTAGAGAGAATCTAGAGCCATTGAAGTCCCAGTTAGAGGAGTCAGAGACAAAAAAAATGTTCTGACGGATACCAACATACTACTCTGGGCTGGGTTAACATTTTTTTTTAAACACAGCCCTTGTGGGAAATAAAACCAATAGTTTACAACCTTATTCTGTTCTGTTTATAACTGTTTGCTGTGTTGCCTGCTAAGAACTTCAGGTGTTCACTTCAGTTTTCCTTTGTAGTCAGTCATCTTTCTTATGGAAAGGGTCTGAAGAGTAATAAAACATCCTAAATATAGTTTCAGAGTATTTCCTTCTCCAAATCCTAAACAGTCTTGCTGCAGCACAATTTAATAATAGTCCCTAGCACTAAAAGCTCCCAGTTCTGCAAGGCACCTTAGTCTTCAGTATTTGCCTTACCACCCACAGTCTTTCCTGCCCTCCTTGTGCAATTTTTAACCCATTACAAATACTTAAGAGATCCAACCATTTTGGTGTTTCATTGTGGCTAAACAAAGAACGTAAGAACTGAGTCACTGAGACACTAAAATTAAGTGTAATGCCACAAACAAGATTTTCATGGGTCAGGCGACCCTATCAGTTTACATATCTAAGCTTTGCTTACCCTTTCTTCACTCTTGCAAAGTCAAATGCCATTTGTCTGTAGGAAAATGCTTTTTCATTCAAGTATCTACTATAACGCCTTATAAAGGTGGACATGTCATAACCTGCAAAAAACAGTTACATGTTTTACATTTAATTTTCATGCTTGTTTGGAGGTTCTTTAGTAAATTATAATATACAGTCAATAGGCCCTAAGGTTATGCGATCTCTGTTGCAGTAGACAACCACACATACAGAACAGGAATCACAAGACATCTTCCAGCTTCTGAAGAAAAAGCAGCAGTGCTGCACCAAAACAATCTACCACTGTCCTCTGCTTCCAACAGATTTATCCAATGCACCAGTGGCATGGTTCCCAGGGAAACCCACTAGTGGCTCCTACACAGTTATGTGGTAACATTATTTGGTGGCGAAATTAGTTACCCCTGTATTAACGGGGAAAAATGCCAAGTTAACAGCAAGTTTATACTTAACTGGTACATGACTTCTAGGATAAAGATCGATTTCAACTTAAACGCTCCTGCTATTTTACATATGTCAGTCCCTTCAACTCTTATATCGACCTTCAAAATTCCCCTGACTCGGTTTACCAGAACAAAGAAATTATGATGGCATTCAAAGAGATTAGTGCCCTCTTGGAACTGTCACACCAGAGATCTTCAAGGCACATGATACTGGACAAGCAGCCTCAAACTTCAGTGACCTTCAAGCCTGTAACACTTCTGAACAGTTAGTATCACAGTCTATCCTTCAGGTATTTCTTTCAAAGCTTCTTCCTCTAAGCTACAGAAACATGTGCCAAAGGCAACTCATCCTCCTCTTCAGTACAAGTCCCTTTTTGCTACCTCTGTTAAAATCCACACCCCTTAACTTAGTCATTGACTGTATTTTTCCTTAATATCTCTCAACATTAAGTATCTCTGACAACTCAGGCTTAACACTACCAACTCTGATGCCTCTTTATCTATGACACACTGTTGTATTATCTATGAAATGGCAATTTAAGTTTAAAGCAAGTGGCAAAGAACACAAAAACATGCATTTAACAGAATTCATTGTTGCCAAATACCAGTATCTCTGAACATGCATAGCACGTTTTGCTTAGACGAACACAGCTTTAATACTTGTTTGGCTTTGTTCCTGCCCTGTGTTACCACTTCTAAAAGATGCTCAAGCCTCTTTTTGATGTCACGTCTCCACTGAGAGATGGAATAACATGGCATTGCTTCGATCTTGCCCATTATTGTAGCATTCCTGTCTACAAATATTCTCTGAGAGCTGCCGAATTATGTTTCCTCTCTTCTCTACTAGAGCTACCATGAAACAAGCTTTTTCTCTGTTAAGTGAAGAAACAGGAAAATTCACTAATAATTCCAGAGTCAAAGTAGAAAAGCAGACATTGTAAGCTTTAGAGAGAACTCCTTAATTTTTGCCTACACCTTCCAAATTCACTACTCAAATCAAAACCAGCTAGTTCTTTTGGTGCCTTCCCTCTGCCTCCCCAAATTAAACATTTGTATAGACAATTCCTAAGAAGTACAGTGTCCCCAAGCAACCAAATTACCATTTAAGACTGAGTAAAAACCAAAAAACTAAATGGAAAATTATCCATTTCATCCTTAACTCCCATAACAGTTAAGGAGATAGCTGACCTGCCCAGCCCTGATTTCAACCAGCACTTTAAGGGAGTTGTACAGTTTCACCTCTTGAGTAAAAATTTTGCAGGAACTGAGAAACATTGTTCTGAAGTTGTCCAGCAGTTGCCTTGAGCTCCTGTATTCATTAAGGACTTATAAAAAGGCTTCAGCAGCACTTTCTTATATTATTTGCATCTTATGAATGAAATTAACAATAGTATCTTATTTGGAATCTCATTAAGATTATAGACACGAGTAGGCTTACCATGAGATCCACTTTTGTCCAGAAAATTGCTGAGATTGAACAATGTGTTTCTAGATGCCAGGTACTGAATAAATCTCTGCAACACAAAGTTATTTTCTTATCACAGGTTGTATCTGAAGGCTTTGTACCTCCTAGCAGGACGATTACCAGTCTAGCTCCAGCATACACACATGAAAACCCAGATTTTTGTTTTAGCCTGCAATACCTTCCTTAAAACCTTTTTCATCCATTCAAATTAATTATGTTTAGCCTGAATCTCTACTAAATATCCTACTGTATAAATAGATTCTGTGCAAATACAAACCAGATTGTGGAAGGAGCAGTAAAAATGGTTAATTCTCAAAGAGATTTGAGGAAGCACAAGATTTATCTGCTTGCAAAGCAGCATATCCAGGCAAGTCCCAGACTTTTCAATCCAGCAGCCCTCAGTTTCAGCCAAGCCAAGGGCCTGTTTTAATAACAAGCAGGGCCCACATCAAGTACAGGGACTAACAGACTGAAACAGTTACAGAAAGCAAATCACAATATTGGCCAAAACTTGGAAAAATAGGACAGGAGTAAAAATTTATGCTGTGACACTGGAGAAGTTCATTGCATGAAAACACTTTATATACAGCCAGGGAGGAATTGTTTCACAATATACTAAATATTCACTTCATACTAAAGCTCTTTAAGTATGCTTTTTGGTTTTATGCAGACACACCAGTCCATACAGGTCAATAAAAAGCAAGGGCAAGTAAAACACAATCCAAAAGGCTATCAAGTTGAATTTACAGCTCTAGGAAGATTTTAATACTCATGCAAAAAGAGCAGCTATTTGGATGGCAGTACACACATGCCAGAACATCAACTTTGACTCTAGTCAGGAAGTCCCAGGTAGTCTTTAATTCTGCATAGCTCTGTTTTCAGATAGCACATAAATTGTCAGCATCCTGGAACAGGCTGCTGCTTGCCCTTATGCTACGGTTTTGTAAATGAAGAGACAGATAATCGGCATGCCTCCAACTATGTTGTTAAAGGTAAGTTTGCTCCTCATCAAGAATCATGCTTGCCCTTTGTTCTCAGGTCCTTACTGGTTCAGAAGAGATGCACTTTGCACTACTAACGTTTTTGGCTTGGAGTTTGCTCCGTGCCAGTGTGGTCTCAAGAGAAAGCTGATTACACTTACCTCATTTCCATGAACCATTAGATGATGTGTGGTAACTAAGGCTTTGAATACGACTACCCAGCTACTATTTGTTGCTCGCTCAAAAAGCGTATCAGCCATCTGAGGAATATTCACGTTTGTTTCATTAGTTGCTTGGATCAAGTCTGTAAGAGAGAAAAGGAAGGTGTTAGGTGCTACAAATAAAACGAAAAGTTCGCAGCACAGCCAAGCTCTCAGTCCACCAGGCTGCAGGCCATGGTTGTGACAAAGTTCAGTGCTTATGTTCTACATTTAAAAAAACAAAACAAAAAAACCCCAAAAACTGATATTATATTAGTACATGCTGAGAGCAACACTGGTCTGACTCTTTCGTCTAACAGTACTAGCTTTCCAACAATTCTGCCCTGAGCTATGCCCCAGCCTTTCTCCATCTTCATCCCAGATGAAGTTAGGGTACACAACGTCTCATGACTTTACTGCTTGCAGGTTTTCAAGTTAATTGTGGCAGTTCGCTACCTCTGGGTTAGATGAATAAGTATTATTGAATTCTTCACTTACAGGTAATACGTCAAGCACACTGAACCCAGTCACATCAGGAAAAAGAGGTATCACCGGAAACAGATACTCTAGTCATCTCAGAGGTTAGAGTTTCATCAGCATGCTACAGCACACCTCCTAGAGTCTCTACAGTCCTAGACAGCATTCAGCCATGCATTAAGACCTCTTCAACAGTAGGAAAGAAGGCAAGGATAGACATTAGTTTATACTGAAGAATAATAGTCTTCTGCAAGCAACTGCACCTTACATAGAAGAAATAAGACATTAGACTGTCTTAGGGAACAGGAATAAAATACAGCTTTGTATCCTGTACGTTAGGAAGGTGTAGACTTGCACAGGAGAGTACACGAAATTAAGATAAGTACTTAAATCAAAAACAGTAGGGCAGCAAGCTTTCCACTAGCATCTCTATCCCACATCTGCTGATAGGATCTTTGATTTACTACATCACCTATTACCTACAGACTCTTGCTAGGCAGCCAGCAATGACCTTCTACAAGCTATTACCTAGTTTTTGAGACACAGTTGGAAACTACATACTGCAACTGCATGACCAAAACCCATGTGATGCCAGACACAGCCCTTAGCAAGACTTCAGGAGAAGACTTCATGCAACACAAAGAGCACAGAATACAGACCTAATTGTAGACTTGAGGCTTAAAGTTTGAAGACCTAAGCAGAAAAAGTTAAAAATTAAAAAGTTTAACTATTATACTAAGCATTATCTGTGTTACTAATGAAAATACTCATCTTTTACTTTCCCTGAGAGGATAGTAACCATTGTTAATGATTTTCCACTTACTTCTTTCCCCACCCCCCCAGACTAGAAATGTTCATCCAACTATTGAAGCCATTCAGTGATGACAAATAGTCTACCCTAGAAGCAGACAGGCTATTCTTCAACCGATCCTTGCACACCTAAACTATGTGAGTCTGCTGTAAACACTCTACAGGAGTTCAGTTCACCTGAGCAGCAAGGTCACCACTTCACAGACTTGCTTTCCCTCCCCAACACAACCCCATATTATGGAGGGCATTAATGCTGCCAAGAGCAGAAAGCCAAGGTTCAGACTGCTGTGAAAGTACTGATTCTGTCTCTGCAGGGCAGGAAAAGTCCAGAGGACAGGTATGTCTAAACAGACCGATGAGTTGCATCAGCTATTGAGAACCACCTGGTGTGTTCAGAAACCCACACTGCTGTACCAGAAGCATTCAGAAGTTTCATAATTTTTTTTTTTTTTAATTCATGGCAAGTGATTTTTGAGGCATTTTACTTCTATTAAACAGACTCATTTAAGATACAAGAAATCTATGGCTCAGAAGCATGTGAAAACTGCAGTGCTTGTGTTCAAAGTTGTCTTTTGTATGGGCATAAAAGCTGCAAGTCGTCTTTAGTTTCAGGTCAGTGGAATGATTTTCTGTAATGAGACAGAAGACAAATTACGTGATCTGTTCGCCAAGTTTTTAAAGTTTTTGTTGTGAGGGTGCTTTTTGTTTTGGTTGTGGGTACTGGTTTTTTTTTTTTGCAGAACACCTTCTGAAATGTAAAGTTAACTTCTATAACCTCAGTAATACCACCTTTGAAGGAGGCAGTTCTGCAGACAAAGTATTACACTAGTAAAGCCATGCTATTGAATGACAGCAGTTCAAGCTCACAGAGCTCCAACAATTCTCCTTGATCTTGTTGTATGAACAGGCCGATAATCTTTTATTCTGTACTGCTGATTAATGCATAAGACAGTGGTTTGTAAAAGCCTAGAAGCAAGACACAAGTGGCTTGCTCACTGTTTACCTCATTCAGAGGTTTTACTGCAGAGGATAGCATTTGTCCTTAGTATAAGGAAACATGCATCAAATTTGCAAGCTTTCAGTCCTAAGTTTCAGTACATAGCTCACTATGGAAGAGGGGTGCTATACATTGTGTATTCCATCGGTGGATGTTAGCTAATGAAACCTCAGAGGAGTCCACCCACAGCAATGCTGGCAACGGAGGCTACTAGGCACTACTCCTATACGCTACTGCGGCACTGCTTCTGAAGTCAGTCAGTCACTTCTGCCTCCTCCCCAAACTGCTGGAGGGTACGGCATCTCAATCTGCAGCTCTGAATGTTTCAGGACACAAGTAATTATAGTGTGCTGAGTATAGAGGTATGATTAAATTTAAGCCTACTACTTTCAGTGCACAGAAAGGAATTAAACCATGCATGAAGATTTTACTCATCATCTGGGGGGGGTGGGGGGAAGGAGATGGGGGTTAATTCTTGCAGAGCTGTTTCCCATTAAGTCACACCACAAAGTTAAGGAATTCAAGCTTCCTGGGTTTCTTTCACCAATACCATAGAGTCTCAGCTTAACCAGCAATCATCAGCATCTGGAGCAACTCAGAAGCATAACTAACTTTAATGAACCCTGAGCAGCAGAGTTTGGTGGCTAAGCTGAATTTAAAATAAGACTTGGCAAAATTCATTTGCCTTCAGTGTGGTAGGGAAGAATAGGTACAAGGAAAAAGAAACACATACAAGAAAAAAGAAAATCTAGAAGCTAGATTTTCAAAAGATTCAGACATTTACTGGTGGGACAGAAACTTAGTTTTCAAAAGAGACAATGAAGTTCAGAGTCTTCCAAACAAGTCACAGGTGGACTTGTTAATACAAAAGAGATCATTTTAAGAAGTACCAGCTGAAGCACAGCCCATCAGAAGCCATATGAAGCAATCTTACAAAGGTGATTCTGTTTGGGGTACACAGAAGTAGCACAAACAAGGATTAAAGGTACCTACCTGATGAAGTTTCTGCTACTGCAGGCATCCATGTCACATATACCGACAGCTAATCCCCAAACTCAAAAACTGAGCTCAAATACAAATTCCAAGCAGAGTAAGAAACCAGGAATGGTACAGCAACAGCAGCCAGTGCTTTCACCACGACTTTCACACAAGTGGAGAAGTTGAAGAATGAAGACCTATACCCTTCATCTAAATCTGTTTTACTATGGGACTAAATTATAATTGCCAAATCACAGTACATGATTTCTCCTATTTCCTCTCTTCACATCTTGCTAGCTGCTATTTTGAACACTCCTTCAGTCTAGAGATCCTTGTTTAAATTATACATTTAATTTGGACTTGAATATACTTTTTCTAGTTAAGTTTTCAGATGCAAAACCTATGCACATAAAAGGAATAAATGGCTGTCAATTCTTTGACAACATAACTTAAATCTAAACACCAGCCTTTAAACTCTTTGACTAGCCAATTTTTTGACTCAGCCTTAAGACATTTGCAACTTATTCAGGGAAGAGAAGCAAGGCTAGAGTATGATTAACACCTTCATTAATAAAAAGATAAACCTGCCAAACCAAGGAAGATCAGCAGAGGGTTCAGTGAGGAAGACAAAAGTAAGTTAAGACACCTTAGCTCTTCATGACCTTTTAAAAAGACCATTAAAAGATATAACTAATTTTGGTGTTTGTTAAGCTTATAAGGTAAAAAAAGAGAACAGCAAGAAAGTTTCACTGTCTTCAGAATTTCAGACTTCCTCAGGCTCATTAAAAACTACTTCCTGATTTTAAGGGTGTTTTTTTTTTTAATGAGAGAGAATCTACAACACCTTAAAGAATATCTTATTCCTTTACCTTTTCAGATTGTGTTCTGGATCAGGGCAGGGGTTTCCTAGTTCAGTTTTGTTGGGTTCTTTTTACTCAACTGTTTAATAGACAGACCTGGGATTCCCCAGTTCAAAGTTAATTATTCACAATTTACATTTCAGTTTGCAGAGAAAAAGCAGCAGAGCACAAGACCTCTCTGTTCAGAGGGGTATTGGTGCCAACTTAAGAGCAGCTGACATTCCAGGTTGAATTAACAGGCGAGCTGCCTCAGCATCTGAGCTGTCTCATACATTCAGTTCCTAAACTTTGCCAAATCTCTCTGAGAGTAACCCCCTCACAGACCTCCCTTCCTATTATGCTGAACACTACAATGGTCTTCACAAGTTATTTTTCTGGCTTGTAAGTATTTAAATAACACCTCGAACCTATAGAAAAGGAAATGCAGGATCATTCCAAATCCGGGCTAGTCAAGAACAGAAAGAAGTGGCCTAAAGTAAGAGTTTAAAAGCCTCAACCAAAAAAGTTAAATAGGCAAGTAACAGTAGAAGTCCTCCCTTGCAAGGCACAGAACTGTATCAGGAAGCTGCTACACCCTTGTGCTAACCAATGCAAGAGCTGAACTTCCAGGCCTACAGAAGACTGACCACAAAACAGTACTGGAAAGCAGAACAAAGTTACCCGTTTCTGCTTCTATGATAATTGTTCATGAGAACATTAGATGATTTTAATGTTGTTGGCTTTGACTATCAAGCAATTCCACAAATGAGAGTAGGGAATTTATCTGTGGGGTTAAAGTTTACTATTTATTCTTTTCACCCCCAGCTTGCCCCATCTCCACAAACATGCATCATAATCTGGCTTGTAATAATCTCCCCAAGCAGAACACCAATTTATGCTGTCTCCTCCTTCCTCCCAGAAGTCTACCTCAAGAGTTACTACATCTCACCTTGAACCCAGCAAGCCCACCCTTTATCAAAGTCCAGCATCTGCCAGATATTGC